ATGATCAATTTGAGGATATTTAGGCTTCAAAACAATCTCTTCTAGTGAAATTTTTTATGTGCGCCCTAATTTGATTGTTTAGAGCCTTACACTTATATAAACTTTTCCTTATGTAAGTACGTGTATATATATGTTTAGAAAAAGCTACTAATAGGTTGTCACTCAAAATGAATAGTAATTTTTTGTTATACTTCTAGCCGTCAAATCTTGATCATACATCACTATATGAATTGTATTTTATTAACAAATAAAATCAGCTGAAATTTTGGGCTTGTGCATTGCATACTAGGGCACACAAAAAAACATGAAATAAATATTTCCAAAGACTTAAAATAGCCAAATACTGTTTGAAATATGTTAGTGGTATTTTGATCATTTTAAGTTTCTAGAAATATTTGTTTTATATTTGTCTAGTGTTTGATAGCGTCAGATAAATATGCTTGAAGTTTTATCTTGATAAGACTTGTAAAAAATAATATTAAAATTCAATTCAAATGGTAGCATGCACTCTCAACATCCAATCATGATTTAATGGCTCTATTCATTTTAGATGACAACTTATTGGTAGTTTTTCACCCATCATGGATATTTTTCAAATAAATATTAGATTATTGGTGAAGGTTTTCTTCCTAGAAAGTTCGACTTCAAATTCCTCGTCAAGGTGTTGGAGCACGATGGTATTGGTGCTCACATTTGAGTCATTAGTACATAAAAATTTCTTAAGATGACTCATCAACTTCCAATTTGCCATATTTTTCCATTTCATAAATATCTTTTTTTCACATTTTTCCATTTCATAAATATCTTTTTTTTCTCACACAAGTCATTGTTACAAGATGACACTACTTTAGGGCGTGTTTTATAATAAGAAAAAGTTAGGACTATGTTCTCAAACAAGGGAAAATGGATGCCTAACCCTCGTCCCTTAAAAGGGTTGGCAACATAATCCAGAATTTCATATTTTTATATGATACGCTAGATATAGACATTCAATTTTTTTTGATATTTTTATATAGTGCGCAATAGTATTAGGTATATACATCTAAAATTTAATCCTAATCAGAAATATAAAAAATAAATAAATTAAAATTAAAATAGTGGTATGTATTTCAATATATGAGTAAACCTTAGCTGAGCAGCTATAATGAATGATAATATAAGTAAAATATCAGCCGTCAGATCTTCATTATGTGGCTCAAAATACATATCACTATATGAATTTTATTTTATTTTTTTATATAAATCTGATTAAGATGAAATTTTAGATGTATATACCTAACACTATTGCGCACCATATAAAAATATAAAAAAATTATTTTTAGCAATTTAAAAGGACCAAATTACACAACATCATTTTTAGGGGTATTTTGGTCATTTATATTTTAAAAAATACTTTTTACATAGTTTTTAATTGTGAGCCCTATTTTTAGTACACACATCTAAAATTTCATTATGATTCGATTTCTAGAAAAAGTATTAAAATTTATATAGTAACATACATTCTGAACCACATGATGAAGATCTGACGGTTGGGATTGTACCAATATTACTAGTTATTATAGCTACCTAATTATTGTTAGCTTTTTCCATATATATATATATATATATATATATATATATACTTATCGTTATATAGTATTTTTTGTTACATATTAATTTATATTATTTTATAGGTATAAAATATTTTTTTTGGATTTGATTGGGTCTAGATCTAGATCTCTATTCTGAATATTCTAGATCCGATCGGATCTAGATCCCATGTATACTTTTAAGATGTGATCTAGATCTGAATCTTTTGGATCTAATCGGATCCAGATTCAGATCCCGTGTATACTTTTAGAAGAAGAAATGAGGTTTTTCAAGCTCTCACCTCTTTCTCTGTGTGTTTGGGTGAGTTTGGATCATTTATAATCCTAATCGTGCTCAAACAGAAATACACAAGGTCAGTGCATAAGTTCATATGTGCTCTACTCTATTGATTTCAAGGGAAACATTCTTGAGCCTACTGGATGGATTGGTCCATCCGATATCTGGTAAGGAGTTTGAAATAAGTTCACTGCAATATGTGTATGGCTTCATAGTGCTCAGAAACTTAAGTCTGATGATCTCAATTTAAGATGAAATCTAGTGGTTCAATAGCAGTTTCTTAGGAAATTGCTACTGAAATTTCATTCAGTTTGGTGGTTGATAAGGTGCTTAATTGAATTCACCACTGTCAGTCTCTGTTCAATGAACATCAGTTGCAGCATGCAAATTGATATACAGCTGCCAAGTTTACCAAACTGGAAAAACTGATAGGATCAAGGACACCCAAAAAAGATATCAACATGGATCCTTAGTTGGGTCGAGTTTTGATGAATCCGCTGTTCTCATCCTCCCTCTGCAATCGATCTCATACATGGATCTTGAATCCAAATTTTCAGAGGTTCATGATCACTACTCATATAATTGAATCTTAATTTTTAGAGGTTCATGATATCTACCATATAATGATCATTCACACGAAAAATAAAAGTAAGTTTTGAAATTTGAATGTAGTAGTTTTTGAAGAATTTTTTGGACCGTGGGTTTCAATGTTTTTATAGGATTTTATACTAGGCAACTATTTGTCATTGTTACCACAAGGTTACAAATACTCTTAATCATTAGATGCTAAATTGGCCGACTTGGGTGTGTTGTAAAATTTGAAAAAAAAAAATTTTTAAAAGTTGAGTCTAATCAATGACACACACTTACAACCACTGTATTTAAAATCTGACGGACAAGAGTGATTGCGACCATAAGTAAAAGGTTTTTTGGTATATTTCACCTTTTTTTTTTATTTGGCCCCTTTGTTGCATCATCTCTTTCTCTTTCTCTCTCTCCCTCTCTCTCCGTTCGGGGTTTGCCTACTCTCTCCCCCGAATCTATCAGGGTGCTCAAACTTCAACAAGTTCATCCGTGAAAGGCTTCTAATCGAGAAAGAGAGACCAAACTGTTAGAATTGAATCTAGTGATAAGGTCTTTTCGTTGGAAATGTGGCGTTACATGCCCTTATCCTCTCATAAATTTATTTTTCAATAATGGTACCAAAGTCATATTGTAGTAAATATATAATTTCATAGAAAAATTTTTATATAAGGTTGCAACCTTAAAATGTAGAATCACAGATGCACCCCAAAAATCCATTAGAAAATGTTGTTTTGATCATCTCGATATCGAGATTTATGAATATGAGAAAAAAAAGATTTTGAGTCCCAAAAATAGTGCATCTTGCAACACATTATCTTAACCATTCATTTTCAAGATTTTCATATGTTTATAGATATACTTGATTTTAACCAATTTTGAAGTTTAAAATTTTGTATCTAGATAAAACAATAGATTTTTAGATAATCCTAAAAAATTTTACACCAAAATTATATGTTATGATAAAACTCGAAGGTGCACCTTAATTGGATTGTTTAAGGGTGCAACCTTATAGAATATGGTCAACAGGAGGTAATGCCCATCCATTGTAGCATTGGTAGGAACACTTAGTGGTGTGTTTGGATTCTTTGTGAAAATTAATTTTTCTATATTATTATAGATTGGATGACATCGGATCCATTGTAGCATTGGTATGAACACCCAGTGGCGTGTTTGGATTCCTTGTGAAATATTGTTTTTCTATATTATTATAGATATACAAAGTTTATTTAAGTTTGTAAAAGGTGTGGTTTCCATAAGGTTGCAACCTTAAACAATCCATTTAAGGCGCACCTTCAAATTTTATCATAACATATAATTTTGACGTAAAATATTCTTTCTATTTTCTCAAAATCTATTTTTAAATCTAATTATAAATTTTTAAACTCCAAAAATGATTAAAATCAAGTAGATCTATAAACATATGAAACTCTTCAAAATGGACGGTTTAGATAATGTGTTGCAAGATGCACTATTTATGGGACTCAAAATCTTTTTTTTTTCATGGTCATACATCTCGATGTCGAGATGATCAATTAGAGGGTTTTTCAACTTTAAAACAACCTTTACTGATGGATTTTTGAGGTGCATCCGTAGTTCTACATTTTAAGGTTGCAACCTTATATAAACTTTTTCCTTTTGTAAATTTCTTTTATCAAATTATAGGAATGCTTGGATGACATCCTATTATATGACTCATTAGTAAACTAATGATAGGTCTGACTCATTACATAGGGTTAACAGTTTGGTGTGAACTTATTAATCCTAATTAATTGCATTTAAAGGGAATTAAGATAGAAGTTATACTTAGATCTCAACTCCTATAGACCATGAATATGAGAGTTACAAAAGATACATGTTATTAAAAAAAAAAAAGTTAACCCTTCATTAGAGATATAAGAAGATAGAAAATGATGAAAGAGATATAAAAGATGAATGAGATTCACCAAAAGTGACTTTTCAAAGTTGTCTGTTGACTCGGTACATAGGATTTGATATGGAACCTTAAGTTATTTGTGTGATTTAAAGTCAGATCCTAATTTATTTATATTTATTTATTTTTTACTATTATTTCTGGTATTATTTTAGTCTGAGAAGGATGAAAACCTTAAACCTTCGCTTAACTTGTCCCATACCCCTGCAAAAAGGCTGGGTTGTTTTAAGTAAGCTGCCAACAAAAAATTTTGTCAAAATTTATCATGACTTCTAGTGTGATTTTATGTATTGGCACTAGTATTAAATCGAGGCTGCTACACCGACTTCCAAATACAACTTGATTTTTTTTTTTTTTTTAGGACCCCGTATAAAAAAAAATCTATGTACATACGACGATTTTGTGCCTTGAAAAACAAATAAAATTGAGGGGCTATTTTTCAAGTCTTTTTTACCTCTCCTATAGAGGTTTCCTCATACTACCCTTAAGAACCTATAAAATCCCAATCCTTTTTCCAATGAACTAGGCTTGAGAAGGGCATTTTCGTCCTTCTACTCTAAGGGGATTGTTTCAACCGAACGTTTCTACAGTCACAAAGAACCACCCGTTCTCTCTTTAGCCACTTAATTTACGTACAGATGAACATTTCCCTTACTATTTGTTTTGCGACTAAGGGAAATTTCTCTCGGGCATTCTAACAAACACTTGATATGCATTCAAGAATGAGATATGCTCCGGCGCTGTTCTTCCCAATTTACAGTTCTGGTTTCAATAAAAATGCGTTTTTTGAATCGGATGTTCTCAGATACATGGTATTCTCTGGGATTGAGAATTTAAAGAGTAATTCTTTAATGAATAATTGGGTTTTATCAGACCAAAAGCGTTTTATGACAGCGGGTAGGAGAGTTCAAGACAGGAGCAAGAAGAAGAGGGTCCATGATCTAGAGAAGGCAACAGAGAAATGGAAAGTTTTATCAAAAGTTTTATTTGTAATGGAGGTTTTGAAACGAGAGCCTGAACAAATCATAACGTTTAGAGGATTGGAAAAGTATAGGAGGCAAATCAATTTGCCAAAACCCCATAAAATCTCAGACTTTCTCCGTAAATCCCCCAAGCTTTTCGAATTGTACAAAGATAAGAAAGGGGTTATATGGTGTGGGCTTACATACAAAGCTGAAGAATTGCTCGAGGAGGAAGAGAGGCTTCAAAGAGAACACAGTGAGAAGATGGTGGAATATGTTACAAGGTTTCTTATGATGTCAGTTGATAAGAGGCTTTGCATCGACAAAATTGCACATTTTCGAAGAGACATTGGATTGCCTGATGATTTTCGAAAGAGATGGATCCATATGTTTCCCGAGTATTTCCGGGTCATTACAATCGATGATATAGAGTATCTTGAGCTTGTGTCGTGGAGGCCCGAGTGGGCGGTTACTGAGTTAGAGAAAAGGGCATGGAAGGAGGCTGAGTTGAAAGAGAGAGAAACTGTTTCCATGGGGAAGGGGGGTTTAGAGAACAAAACTGTAACACCCGCAAAGGTGGGTCTAGAGAATGAAACTGTTTCATTGGTGAATGTTGGTGCTGAGAGAGAACCAGTTTCAAGTGCAACGAGTGAAACTGTTTCATTGGAAAGGGGCCATGGTATGCCTGGATGGCTTTCACTTCCTTTTCCTCTCAAATTTCCTCCAAATTATAAGAAGATTTACAGATATGGAGGGAGCATTGAACATTTTCAGGAGCTGACCTACCTTTCTCCTTATGCAGATGCAAGAGAATTGAAGCCTGGATCATTGGAATTCGATAAGAGAGCAGTAGCAGTGATGCATGAGCTCTTGGGCTTCACTACTGAGAAAAGGTTGGTAATAGATCATTTGACACACTTTCGACATGAATTCAAAATGCCCCAGAAGCTGATGAGGCTTCTCCTAAAGCATTGTGGTATCTTTTACGTTTCAGAGAGAGGGAAGAGGTTAAGTGCTTTTCTAACAGAGGCCTATGAAGGAATGGAGTTGATAGTGAAGTGCCCTTTGGTGCTATGGAAGGAAAAGGTTATGGAGCTTGTTGGTTATAGGGGAAAGAATAGGAAAGGAGCTGTCTATTTCAATGAGATCTCGGAGGATGAAAGAGACGGCCTATTCAGCCATGTTAATGATAGTGAGAATGCCCTCAAGGAATTTGGTGATGAAGGGGGTTCAGAAGATGCTTCCCTTGACCTAAGATTAGATGATTCCGATATGGATTTAGGAGAGATTGAAAGAGCTTACAATGATCAGTAATCAACTCCAGGTAGGCTCCGAGAATTAGAACTCATAAACCCTTGTTCTTGCACCAGCACCTATCTCTTATGTATTTCGTCTGCTAAATATGAAAAGGAAATAGCAAACATTCTCAAAAAAAATAAAAAAATGTAAAGGAAATATTTGGGACTTTTATCCATCATTGAATTTCATATATCTGGATATTTTGATAGGGAGCATATTATATGATCCAAATGGATAATGGGGAACCATTGTCTGATGGGGTCATAACATTCAAATGAATTGTGGACAGTGATGGGGAGATAGTGGGGACCACATCGGAATGATGTCCTATCTGGTGGGTTCTATTCTCTCTCTCCATTACTGTATATCTTTCCATTTCACAGTGTTTCCTCCAGTAGACTATAGTATGCTATAGTCAATTGGATTACAATTTACTTATCATGAAAAAATAGCTATTCTTTCTAACTACTTGTCTGTTACTCATTTGAGATATTAATCAATCATGGGAATCCTGCACAACCATTTGAGGGTACCTCATAAAAAATGTAGAAAATAAAATGCAATGCAGACCCTTGCTTCTTTCTAGTTATAACCAAGAAATTGGTAATCATTAGTGATATGATTTGAACTATACAAGTAGATGATTTTCTCCTACTTCAGGGTTGGGCAGTGGGCAGTGGCAATCAACTCGAGGATTGAGAGTTTCGCTATGTGATAAAAAACAGTCTTATAAATAAATAAAGTTAAACAATTGGGATTAAATATCCAATTTAGATATGGATTTTGTATGTATGTGATCCTTTATTGCACTGTACATGTAATAATATGTTTCGAGAGAAATTTTAGTACGATGTTGTAATAGGCGACCTCTGCTTGCTTGTTTTATTTTACAAGACAGCAGATCTTACACAGATAACCTTAAATATCCGGTTATCACTTGTCGGAGAGGGTGAGAATTGCTAGATTTCCTAGGGTTCAGCTCAATGCCATCTTGTGTTAACTTATAAGCATATATTTGTATTTTCTTTAAGACTAGCAATGAAAAAGAGAGAATGAGTTGTTTCTACTCCAAGAAAATGACTAATTCCTGGATGAATATAGTGTAAGTGGCCTGGGAGTTGTCATTCTTAGGAAGCTCTTGTCAATAAGCACCAATTTATGTCTTACTATTATAAGGAAATGGATTGTATCACGAATTTGCATTTGGAACCTCCTGGATTTAAGTTAGATGTGGCTCTTGGCATTTCTTGTAAATTGGCCAGCCACATGAGCCATGTATGTGGTGCCTGAACAATTGATGGTAAAACAGTTATAAGAAACATGTTGTGGTGAAAATTAACATATTACGGGGCATACCACTTGAGTTTTGAAACTTCCGGGAAAGAATTGTGCATCTAATGTGTTACTAAACTAAGAAATAACTAGAGAGCTGCTGTGAGTGATGGGGGCAGCGTAATGGTGTCGCACGTTAAGGTTATAGCTGGGCAGCCGGCCCTCAGCTATCTCTGTCTCTGTCCTGTTAACACATTTCAAAGCATATAATATCTGCATATATTTTATCTCTATAGAATAACTTTTAGTGTAGTTTAGGATCATGTTGTTTTAAGCACAAGCTAAATTTGCTAATGTGACTATCATACTGAACTTGAACATATATATGCATATACTTTCTTTGTTTTTCTTTTTTACAAAAATTTTGGGTCCTATTCTGGTTTGGGTCTTGATGTGCTTTGCTTGTTTCACAAGTGATAATATTTCCAACCTATGTGCATTAGGTGAAAGCATTTTTTTGGTTGCATTTTGTCGTAGAAATGTATTCTTTGCAGAACTTAATTAATTTCTGACCAATGTCCTGTTTGATAATGGTACCCTGGTGTATGGCGTACAGTTTCAACTAGCACTGCTATTCTTCTGTACTGCAATCTGAACCTGGACAATATAGGTTTTGCTACTCTTTTAACTTCTTTGTGTGATTTGCTTTGTAGAGATAGGGGTAGGATAGAACTAATTAAGAGTTGCAAAGCTTTCTAAAGAATTCAAGGTCCTGATTGTCGTTTGTGACAGGGACACACTCATATTTTTAGTATCTAAGTTGGATTTATTGTCTCTCTAATCCAGGGTCTTGTAAGATGAAGGATGGAAGTTTTAGGATTTACGTTAGGACTCTATACTATGCCTAGGTACTCTTTGTCAAGGTATATCGGTCTCTTATTAATTTTCTTAATGAGTGAATCTCCCTTTGATGAAGAAATCATACTCTGATAGGAATCCATGTCCATTTCTCCATTTCTCTTTTAGTTTCTAGGTGTTACTTTCCTTTTAAACTCTTATGAGGTTGGTTTTTTAAACAAATTTAGTTTGGGTTTGTAAATGTTGCACATTACTATCACCATCACCATCATATTTATGGATCCATTTGTACTGTGATTCTATGATGCTCTGGTGTTTAATTGTGAATTATTTATATTTTGATTGGATTATCTAACTAGCAAAATCCTATTATGGATATGAGATACATATATATGTTTGTGTCCTTATCTCTATTTTAGGGTGCCACTTATTTGTTGCAAATGTGTCAATGATAACCACACTTCTTAGATTCAGTTTTAGCTAAGGATTTCAACTTCCTGTGAAATGCAATAGGTGGCTCTCTTTTCTGAAAAACTTCTTTGCCTCTCTTTTTTCCCTGCATCACCCAATGTGCTCTCCTATGTAGGAACTCATATTCAAGGCATCTTTATTGTTTCTCTAGCCATTTCAGGATCTTTAAGCATTCTTAGTATTCTCATGGGCTGACAGCTACAACGTTAGCCAACGGCTTAGATTCAATCTAGGTTGATATGACAGTTACAACCTCATTTCGTATTTTAATTTTAATTTTTTTTCTACAAATCTAAATCACTTGAAATTTTAGGCATTTATTCTTCTCGTCAAGGCGCACCTAATAAAAATATAAAAAACATAATTCAAAAAATATAAATGGACCAAAATACCCCAAAAAAGTTTCGGGGGTATTTTGATCAATTTATATTTTATGAAATATTTTTTATATATTTTTATTAGATTCTCTTATTTTTGAAGAATAGACGCTCAAAATTTCAAGTGATTTGGACTTGTAGAAAAAAAAATGAAAATTCAAATACGAAATGAGATCGTGACCATTGGATTGGGCTGATAGGATCCTTTCGCTATATATATATATATATATGTTAATGATTCCTTTTAACTTGATTGCAAGTGGATCCTTTGAACCAAAAGACTTAAAAGTTCACTCTGAAACTTGGATTAACTTGATCCTCTATCTCTTGTTTCTTAATCATAGGTACTAGTCAAGTCTTCTTATTTTTCTTTTTTCTGCAAAACTAATTCACTTTCTCTGACTCTCACCTTAATAATTCAGTTTTATTTTCCCTTTTTCCTCCCTAGTTATTTTTTCTTATCTTAATTAAAAGGCTATCAATTCACGTTATGAATGTGTCCCAATAATGAAGATGCCACTGTAAATCTAGTATATGAAGCCCCTTATCTTCTCTTTGGCCTTCTCGAGGCCTTTTCCTTTTTGTGCACCCTATAGTTTTGCAAGGTCAGTATGGAACCCTTTTTCGTTTTATCAAGGAGGTTTTGTCTACTTTGTGGGTTGAATTGCTTGGAAGCTATGATTTTAGCGCCATTTCTTTTCAAGGATATTAACATTGACTTTGTGCTGGAAGTTACTTCAACTGGTCTATCTAAATTGTGATACTTCATAGTGTTAGGATACTTTTGGGGATAAAGAAGGTCAATTTCGGTATAAATTTGCTCCAACCAAAGGAATGGAGCAGGAATTTTGTGATACTCTTACTTGCGATAGAAAAAATCCCGGTAATTGATTTGAGTATTATTTTGCTATATATGATTTAAATTTATGAAAAATAAATGCATTGCGAAGCTTGAATTTAATTACTCCCTGCATAAAAATCCATCATTTGACCTCGGCCATAGCAAAGGAAGAATAAGACCGAGTCTTTCAATCGTATACCTTGTTTCTTGGTATTATAGGTTCTAAAAACATAAAAAGATGAGGAAATTTTTTTTCTGACCTGGAATCTCTCATCTCTCACCACTCACCATGCTTCTCTCTCTCTCTCTCATACACATACACACATATTGTGTATCTATGCTCTTACGAATAATTGCTAGGGAACCCTAGCAATAATTTTTTCTCTTGAAGAAGCCAAAATGATATCCCTACCCATGCAATTTATGGGTGTCAAATAATTCCAAGCGGTATAGAACTCTTCATTGATTTTGTTTCATGGCTTTATGAACTAGGGATTGTATGCTATGAGACCATCTATTTTTGTTGTAAGAAGGTCACAATGCTACTAGCAATTAGATGTCAAATTGGATGGCTTGGGGTAAAAGTTTGAGATTTTTCTTCTTCGTTTTTAACTTTGAGTCTATTTAATGACACACTCACAACCGCCTTTGAATTCTGGCTGTAACCTTTTGGCCATTTTGCATATGTCATTGAAGTGTCTGACACAGATATAGTACCATTCCAAGTCTCCCTGCTGTCATAGCTTACTAATATATTGTTCATGTGATGAATTTCAAGAAATATACAACAGTTCATCTACTTTTTACTAATATATTGGTCATGTGATGGATTTCAAGAAATATACAACAGTTCATCTACTTCTGTTGCCAGCCTTATTGAAAACATTGTTTGTGTTGTTGGATCATAGTGGATGTACATGGGGGTTGCCACATACTTTGATGGATGGACTTTGTCTAGTTGTGCTAGTATCATAACCTTTGATCTCCCCAAGGTATTTTCTTCTGCATTATGTTGCTCTCATGATGCCATTGATTGTTGATAATTCTTCCTCAAAAGTTTCTAAATAAGGTCTCTTTAAATTGCTGTCAAATTTGGCCATTCTAATTTGTTCATGTATTTTTTCATTGCATATTCGAAGAATGATAACATTTATTCCGTAGGTTTCCTTTTATTTTATGATGAGAGATAGCTAGCTCAACTTTTTGGTAGTATTCATTTATTGATCAAAACTTTCTTACCAGTCATTATTTTATGGGGTGTGGTTTGTAAAGTTGGCACCTCAAACAATCAAAGTAAGGCGCACTGCCAAATCATGTCAGAAGATGCAGATCAAATGTTGGAAACCCTTGTGATGGCTTGAAGATCTATTTTCGCCGATAAATATACAAATAAATACTCTAAAATTTATGGAGATTGAGAATATCTATGGACACTTGAAAATCATGAAAATGGAGGTCCAAATAATGCATTACCAGATGCATTGTTTCCAATACTTGAAAACCTTCATTTTCTTTACATTTATACATCTTGAGGTCGAGATGATCAATTTGGAAACACTTGAAAATCGTGAGAATAGAGGTCCAAATAAGGCATTATTAGATGCATTGTTTCCAATACTTGAAAACATTCATTTTCTTTACATCCATACATCTTGAGATGATCAATTTGAGGGTATTTCAGCATTGGATCAACCTTTTCTGATGGGTTTTTGAGGTTCTCATTACTTACATAATATAAGGTTGGCACCTTATTGACGTATTTATATAATATACGTCATTTTTGACGTACTTGTATTCCTGGGGCGAATAAGGAGTGAGCCGGTAGTAACTGGTCCCACCGTGCCCAAAACGCTGCTAGACCACTGGAACACTGTAGCAATAAGCCTAAAACCGGGTGACTTCTAAGGAAGTGCCAGAATGGCTTCAAATTGCATGAGATGGTAGCTTTGGATACCCTAAGGGTACCCACAAAGTTTCGTCGGGTTTTTACAAGTTTTGATATGATGAGGATGAAACTTGATTCTCAAATCTAGTTCCTATCATGCTGAAAATTGACCCTATAACTATAGCCCTTTTTTTCTGGGTCTCAAAATAGTACCAAACCACCACCATTGGATCCGTAATGTTGAAAAACCCCCAGGTACGAAATTAGGCTCAATCGGACCCTCCGGGACCATTCTCTACCTAACTTACCATAAAATTGTGGGTTTTACACTATTGCGGTGCAACCTCAGTGAACTAATGGAAACCGTGTTTTCTCATTTCGGGATGATTTTCAAATGCTCATAACTCACTCTTTTTGAGTCCAATTAAACTCAAATTCAGACGCGAGCCAGATCTCGATGACCCGATCGTTTTGACATATAGCATGCGTCATGGCGTGGCCCGAAGCTAGAGAATTTCTAGAGAAAAGAAAGGCTCGAAACATGAAAATTCATATTTTATAAAGAAGAACATCAAATTCTTTGAGAGGCCATAGCTCAAGATCCCGATGTTGGATCGTTGCATGTATGGGTCCGTTGCGACCGTGCTTCGAAGAGCTACAATTTGGTATAATTTTTATGTATGATCGGAGGCCACACGAATTTTGAAGTTGAAAATGGCACACTTTTCGGTAATCGGAATCTCATTTTTCGACGGCTTCCCAAAATTGGAATATGCTCAAACGAAGACCAAAATGGATGAAATTTAGTGCAAAATGATCGTGATAGTATCCCCTTCATTTTGTGATCAAAATGAATGCTTGGAACGTCATATATCATACCGGATTGGTTATCGAAGAATCACAAGTTTATGGAACTTGGCTGGATTTTGGGTTCTTCCTAAAAAATCTGTTTCAAGACGATCGAAGGGTATCAAAACGTGTGCAAAAGTTAAAGCATCGATTCTACGACGAATGAGCGTCCAAAAAAACTCCCGAGGTCTAGCAATGACAAGAGGCCCTTCATGGAGGGATGGTTTTGTCTTTTGTTGAAAAGTGCCTATGGGTATTTTGGTCATTTGGTAAAAAAATGGGATTAATATTTTAATTCATAAAATGTCTATTTTTGATAATTTTGGGTGTTTTTTAACATTCCACTCTTGTTTAGCGGTTGCTCTATATAAGAAAACCCAAGGCATAATAAAATGCTTGGTCATTTGTAATCACTACTCTTGAACCTTTGGAATAAAATTCTTGAATTCTTGCTTATTCTTTGGTTTTGCTTTCAAGTTCAAGACTAAGATGTGAGGAGAGAGAAACATTTCTTAGAAAGAGAAAATACCCCTAGAACCCCACACTCCCTAGATCCCCCCCAACTACCTTAGGATTTCCAACTCCAAACCCCATACTCCCTAGAACACATAGCTTCCATACACCTTAGAACCCCCAACTCCTAACCCTACTCCATATACCTCACACCCTACCTTAGCATGCTTACACTATAGCCTACACCATACACCTTATACCATACACCATAGTCTCCCATGAACCTCAGCCTACCTTATACTCCTTAGTTCCCATATACCACACCTCAAACCAACCTACCTAAACCATATACTTAGACTCTAGTCTTGACCCACCAAGCCTAAGCCTCTCTCTCTCATGTGCATGCAAGGAGACCGATTGCACTTAGGCTCTAGCTCATCCTAGGTCTACTCTCTCTCATCTCTTCCCTCTTCTCTCTTTCTCTCTCTTCGTCTCTCTTCTTCCTCTCTTTCTCTTTCTTCTCTTTTTCTCTCTCCTCGCTTCTTTTTTCTCTCTCTTCTTTCTCCCTTTCTCTCTCTCTCTCTTGCTCGGATACAGGGGGTCCAAGCCCTCACCCTCGCCCCCTCTCTCTCTCTCTCTCTTACGTCCAAACTCTCGGACCCACACCTAAGGCAGCCCGGCTTCCCTCCTCTCTTTTTTTTTCTCTGTCACTATCTTCTCCCCCTCAAGCACAGACCCGTGCCTCAGGCGGGTCCGCCTCTCTTTATCTCCTTTACTCTCTCCACCCTCTTACCCTTTCTTCTCTCATCTCCCTCACTCTTCTGTGTGCCCCTATCTCTTCTCTCACCCTCTTCTGTCCGCCCTCATCTCCCTCACTTTTCTGTCCGCCCCTATCTCTCCTCTCTCACCTTATCATGTCCGCCCTATCTCCTCACACCCTTGTCCGCCCCTATCTCTTCTCTCCTCCTTAGCCCCAATCTGCCTCACTTTCACCTCTCTCTTATCTAGCCCCAATCCGCTCCTCTCTCCTCCTTAGCCCCAATCCGCCCCACTCTCATCTCTCTTATTCAACCTCTATCCTTCCCTCTCTCTTATCTAACACTTATTCGCCTCTCTCTCCTAACACCCCGATCTGCCGCTCTCTCTTAACACCCTATCCGCCCCCCTCTCTTATCTAACCCTTATCCGCCCCTCTTTTTATCTCTTAACCCCTATCCTCCCCTCTTTTCATCTAACACCATATCCACCTTTCTCGTTTGTCTTTCACTCCTATCCATTCATGTCTCTCTCTTATCCCCTTGTGAGTTCGGACCCACGCCTTAGGTGGTTCCTTCCCATTCCCTCTCTATTTTCTCACCTCATCTACCCTCACATCTCTCTTTAGAGTCCTGACCCTCACCAAAAGCGGATCCATGATTCCTTGACCTTTATCCGTCTTATTTTCTCTTGCCTTAAACACTCTCTTCTCTCTCCAAATCATATCTCAACTTTTCATTTACGTTATTATATTTTTACTTCATCTCTTTCTTAATCTCAGCTGATATGCTTTAATTAAAATATGAGTTGTTACCCACAAAATCACCAGCATATATGCTGAGGAAAATTCGGCACACAAAATTCTTGATGCGAAAATAATTTTGAGCATGGTGAAACCCTCATTAGTTGGTTGCATTTCTGATGCATTTTGATGGGTTCTCCTCCATTTGATTAAAAGGAAGTTATATAAAAAAAAGAAAGCTACGAAGTGACTCTTTAATGGATACAAGCAGAAACTTTTGCCTACCGATTGTTATAAATATTTGCTCGATTTTGCTCTTGTTGCTCATCAGATAAATGTTTATTATTTTTTGCAAGTTTTATCTTTTCATTGTGCTTGTGTCATTTGCAAGTTATTAGTATTGGTTATGTATAGACAATTGTGTTTCACAGAGCATTAGGCTTTCTTCAACCTAAAGACATCGACTCTAAGCTGTTTGACATAACTTACGTATGTAACTATGTCACATATATGCATTGTTTTGTTCCAACATTTTTTATACTTCAAACTCTTGAGCATTGAGCATGTCACATATTTGCACTGTTATCTGCATTGTTTTGTTCCAACATTTTTTGTACTTCAAACTCTTGAGCATTGAGCATGTCACATATTTGCACTGTTATCCTGGAACTTGATAACTATCTTCATGTTCTTTGTTTTCATCCTTCTTATCTGTTCAACTTGGTCTTCGCCCTTGGTGTAACTGATTGATAGATTTCTCAGACCATCCAGCTGACTAATTTCCCCTTGGGGCGGTAATGTGTCCTCGAACTCTTCTTCACTTGGGTCACAGACAACATTTTGTTTCAGATCTTCGATATTGAAGAATTGGATCTCTTCATCCCAGGTATTCAAAGGGACTAGTTTCAGATCTTTGATATTGAAGGATTGCCTCTGAACTGTAACGTATGTTTTCCTCTCTGATTTCTTCCTCCTCCGGCCTCCCATCTTTAGTTATCTCTGGTTTGGAATGTTGTTTCTTGGAGTTTAGGAAGTCTCATCAATTTTGCTGCTATTTGCTTCCACTTTTCAATATAGTCATCCATATTTTCCACATGTTTGTTCGACTGCCTGTATGAAATTCTCCTCTCGTCTTTCTGTAGTTTTGGCTAAAAGGATAACTTTTTGAAAAATTGACTTGTCTTAACATTTGCTTCGACTGCCTTGCTTCTCTCTCTAAGTAAGCTCGTCAGCCTTTCTGCTGTCTCTCTCGCATGCCAATTCTTCTTCAGCTATCATTCTTTTCTCATCTTTAAACAATATCTCTACTTGAAGTTTTGAAATAAAAGTTTCCATGTATGAGATTTTAGCTTTGAGCACTGTTAGTTATCTGCTGCCAGGCTTCTGTGAAAGGAGTGATCCTGGCAATCTCACTAAGAAAATGCTTTAGCATAGCTTGCTAGAATTTCCTTTTACCTGAAGAAGCATTGTGAGCTTGTTGTCCCTGAAGGGTACGTTGCCACCTCCATTTGCCATGGACTCCACAACCCTTTTAAGAGCTGCATTTCCTTGATTGATTTTCCTTGCCTGTTTTCCATTTTGAATAAGAAACATGAGTAAGCCCATTGTATTTTGTAGATCGAATTTCAATTTGTCTAAACCAGAATTAGAAAGTAAAACTCTACCTGCATTTTATTCTGTGCGCCTTGGGCTTGGCCTGCTTGTTCTATGTTCTCTGAACCAGCCATGTCCACTAATGTTAACACTATGGACTTTGTCTTATTCCATGTCGTGCAATTGATGTGTTTGTATATTATCTTGGAACTTTTTTGGGTAATTATATATTATCTTGGAAGTTGATAAAAGGAATGGAGAAGAATAAGAAAAGGCAAAGAGAAGGAGAAAAATGATAATAAAGGGAAAAATCTAATGTTGACAGATGAAATGGATGACTACCTTATGGAGCAGCTACTTAAACAAGTGCAATTAGGGCATAGAGTTGAAAATGGTTTCAGGCGTGAGGCGTATATTGAAATATGCGATGAGTTTGAAAAAAATAAAGGGGATTGTATTGATTTTGGAAAATGTAAAACATAGAATGCAGACTTGGAAGCGATAATACGATCAACTGAATGTTCTTTTGACCAAAAGTAGCTTTGGTTGGGATGATAAATTACATAAGGTTACAGCTGTAGAGGAATTATGGAGTGATTACATAAAGGTATAATAATTGTTATTCATATATTTTAAATTTTATTAATGTAAATATTATTTTCTTATAAATGTATGTATTGCTCAATGGCAGGATTATCCAAAAGCTAAGATGTATAGAACCAAGTCGATACCCTTATTTGGTTCATTGCCATTGTACTTGGGGATGATAAGGCCGATAGAAAATAATGTGGTTGGGATTGGATTTGGAAGGCCGGAGGCCCCATGGATGATATTAGATGTGACAGTCAGAGGGGTGATGACCATGACCTCGATGAATGAATGGCTTCTATGCATGGAGATGGTACATCCCGTCAAAATACTACTTCATCAGCTTCAATGAGCAAACAACCAGAAACGAAGAAAGTCGTGTGGGTGAGGCAATTGCCGCTTCTATTTATGAGAGTGGTTGCTTTTGGGTATGCAATGGACGAGATGACTAAGAAGAGGCGGAGAGTTGTAAATAATCAAGAGTTGATCACATAACTAAAAAGGGTTGAGGGAATAACATCCTATGATTATTTTAGTGCAGGTAAATATCTTGTTGAATACCCTAATATTGTAGCAATGTTCATAGATGTGGAGTTGGAATCACGCAAGGTCTGATTGCTTTTTCTACATAGTGATTGATTTGTAATCTACTAAAAATAGTTAATGATGGGTTATATGAATTTATAAAAGTTATACAAGTTGTCGTGCTTGCTACCTTTTTTTCTTCTTTTTTTTGTAATGTTATATGGCTAGTTCCACCTTGATTGTCATGACCGTTTTTGGATCATGTTTGATTGTTATGGCTTATTAAGGCTATAAATTTTGTGAATGTTACAGAATATGATCGAATATAATGATTACGAATTGTATGAATGTTATCAAATGCGATTAAGTTTTATACATTGAAATAGCCATGAATCTTGTGAATGGTAAGGAATATGATAGTCATGAATGTTATGAATGGTAGGGAATGTGATGGACATGAATATTATGAAATATTTGATGGGGTTTGTAGGGCAGGTGATGATCATGAATATTGTAGAATAATTAAGTCTTGCATTATTAAATAATTGTGTTTTATGAAATACCGATTTTTAATAAAAATCATATTTTTAGATAATCACGATTTGTTAAATAACTATTTTTTAATAAATATTCATATTTAATTCAATATTTCTTAATTGTATGAAAATCATGTAATCTTCAATAAAACTATTCATGTTTTATTAAATATTTTTTTATTGTGAGAAAAGAAATTGCATATAATGAGACCATTTTACAACCATCTGATATAAAATCTGATAGCTTAGGTGTCACAAAGTTTGAGAATTTTTTTTGTGAACTTATAGCTTGGTCAATGAAATAAATTGTAATAATCCTAAAAATTTCAAGAAAAAAAAAAAAACGAAAAGAAAAGAGAAGAAAAGAAACTTTTAATAAGTGATGGTCTATATAAGTATTATGGTCTTTAGGGACCATCACCACTTTGTTAACTTTTTTCCTTTCATTACCACTTTTAGTGGACGTGGGCTTTAAACATTTCAT